CATATCTGAAACAAGCAGTGAACATATCAGTCATCTTGCCATATGATAACAAGTGATTATCCCCACACATCTTTCTTGCCCAAGAATGTCTACTTCAATATCTTGAAATAGGTTCGCTTGTTTGAACATCCATATGAGGTATGTCTAACACATATGTAAGCATGTCTATATCAATTCTATTAACATCTTTCAAAACATGTTTAAATATCATGTATACAATGTTTTATGCAAGGTTGAATATTAAATCAAGGTAACACAATAAGCCATGTTACAGTGAACAAGGACTGCAGTCTTAATGAGGTTTACACTTTTACATTACAGAAAGGTATTGACAAACAAAGTCACTTCATAATTACATGAAAGTAACAGCAAACCTGACAAAACTAGATAAGCTAGTAGCAAGTATTTGATTAACTTATACTCAGCAACTAGATTTCTATGCATGTATGCATCTATCTACAAATGAATTCTGGTAAATGGGTTAAGAATTATCTGACACAAAGAGCAACGATTAAGCAAGTACCTTCAGGATATAAAAAAGGATTCATTTTCAAAACACTTCCAGATCTACACTCTGGCTAGGAGAAAGGAATAAGGGAAAGATGAAGAGAAGTGAGAATGATTTAACCCAAATGGTGCTAGGCAACTGCAGTCTACTGTTTTCTTTTTTTAATTTTGTTTGCACACAGATGGCTCTATAAGTACTCAATCACCAAGGAGTCAATAAGAAGCTTATATGTTCTTTGTTGATTTCCTTTTCCTTGAGTTTTCAAGAAAAATATCTATTTTCTAATGCTATTATTATCGATGTTGTTACTATTGTTGTTGACACTTTATTTTTTATGTTTTTTACAATACTAATAACAAAGACAAAGAAGAAGAAGGGAGATAAGCCTAGAACTAGTACTTGACTCCTTGGTGATTAATGCTTGTGGTGCCATCTACAAACAAAAAAACAATGGACTAGACATATATTCACATCATCCTGACAGCAATGGATTACATAAGAAAAAGAAAAGAGAGAAAGAAAGAAAGAAGACAAAAAAAGTAAAATGATGATATATACTTAGTAAGATCATCTTCAGTTGTGTCCTTGTCTTGCTCAACATAAGTCCTTTTGGTCTTATAGTCTTTTGTTTCCTCCGCCAGCTTTGGGATGGGGATGATCCTTCCTGTCCGCGCTGAGACTCTCACCTTGTCCCCTTCCTCGGTATAACGCCATTCAACCTGAAAATTATTGATTTTAGATCAAATTATCATGCATCCAAAAGTACAATATACTAATAATTTTATAAAATGGATAAACCAGTAAAATATCTATCTAGGAAAATGAATCTGCAACTTACCTCAGTCGGCTTGTTGTCAGAAGGGTCCAACAATGCGACTTGGGAAGTCACGAGAAGAGGAGCTTCACTCTGGATCATCATCCCTGGATAGTCACTGTCAATTGAGATTATCATCAATTAATTATTCTTTTAATATTTTTGTATAATACTGTTTCTGTCTCCATTTCTCCCTTACTGTACCTATCTTCTTAAAACTATAATCTTTTAGAATAAAAATAAATTAGCCATGGCCACTAACATTTTATAGCACCTTATGGTTAAAAATTATTTGACACAAAAAGCAACAATTAAGCAATTACCTTCAGGATATAAAAAAGGATTAATTTTCAAAACACTTCCAGATCTACACTCTGGCTAGGAGAAAGGAATAAGGGAAAGATGAAGAGAAGTGAGAATGATTTAACCCAAATGGTGCTAGGCAATTGCAGTCTACTGTTTTCTTTTTTGAATTTTGTTTGCACACAGATGGCTCTATAAGTACTCATCATCAAGGAGTCAATTAGAAAGCTTATATGTTCTTAGTTGATTTCCTTTTCCTTGAGTTTTCAAAAAAAATATCTATTTTCTAATGCTATTATTATCGATGTTGTTACTATTGTTGTTGACACTTTATTTTTTATGTTTTTAACAATACTAATAACAAAGACAAAGAAGGAGAAGAAGGGAGATAAGCCTAGAACTAGTACTTGACTCCTTGGTGATTAATGCTTGTGGTGCCATCTACAAACAAAAAAACAATGGACTAGACATATATTCACATCATCCTGACAGCAATGGATTACATAAGAAAAAGAAAAGAGAGAAAGAAAGAAAGAAGACAAAAAAAGTAAAATGATGATATATACTTAGTAAGATCATCTTCAGTTGTGTCCTTGTCTTGCTCAACATAAGTCCTTTTGGTCTTATAGTCTTTTGTTTCCTCCGCCAGCTTTGGGATGGGGATGATCCTTCCTGTCCGCGCTGAGACTCTCACCTTGTCCCCTTCCTCGGTATAACGCCATTCAACCTGAAAATTATTGATTTTAGATCAAATTATCATGCATCCAAAAGTACAATATACTAATAATTTTATAAAATGAATATACCAGTAAAATATCTATCTAGGAAAATGAATCTGCAACTTACCTCAGTCGGCTTGTTGTCTGAAGGGTCCAACAATGCGACTTGGGAAGTCACGAGAAGGGGAGCTTCACTCTGGATCATCATCCCTGGATAGTCACTGTCAATTAAGATTATTATCAATTAATTATTCTTTTAATATTTTTGTATAATACTGTTTCTGTCTCCATTTCTCCCTTACTGTACTTATCTTCTTAAAACTATAATCTTTTAGAATAAAAATAAATTAGCCATGGCCACTAACATTTTATAGCACCTTATGGTTAAAAATATGATAATCAAACTCAAATATTCTTTTCATAGTATTCACTGGTAGGGGATTTAGGTTGAACAAAAACTAATAAATACCAACTCATTTTCAAAAATACTTCTGCTTTTTCATCTCTTACTTTCACTTTGGATGGATGTTGAAAAAAGAAAGAAAGAAAAAAATCCAGCTTTGAACTGGGCCTCTAAACAAAAATAATAAAAATAATACCTCTAAAACTTTTCTTGTTTTCTTCACTTTAGAAATTCCAACAAAGGAAATCAAAATTATAATAAAACATGAAAAACAAAGTGAATAACATGATATGCTTTCCATTTGTCACAGAACCTATTCACATATACACCAACTAAACAATTCTTCCAGAATGTGTTATCACACACATTCAAGAGATATGTATTCATAATTTTTCTTTTTTTCTGCTTCATTTACACTATTACCCTTCTAAATTCTCAGTCCATCTCTAAGTTTTGTTTTTGGAGACTGACAGAGAGAAAGGAGAGAAAGAAAAATGCGTTACCACTTTTTACTGAGACAGAAAAAAAGAAGCAAAAAGTAAAATCCTCACCCCTTTTTGCCGACAGATCGAAAATGGCAGTTGAGGCCTTCAACCATAACCCAGTTCCTCTCCTGAACGACATAATTTACTAGGCCCTGTTTGCCTTTGTCCTTTCCAGCCAGAATTTCCACACGGTCTCCACTTCCGAGAAAAGAAAAGAATCAGTTTCCATAAATAAAGACAAATATTCAACTGCCTACATATAGTTAATCCTTCTTGATAAATTTAAATGCAAAGCTCATATAATTTTGAAATTATTTTTTATCTACTTACTTATTCATTTATTATAAGTACTTACTTGAAAAATGACCAGTCTGTAATGGGCTCAACAAAGACTTTCTTACGGCGTGTTCCTACTCTGTTCTGCTGTGCAAACTGCTGTGTCCAAGGCCGGTTTGTGGTGAATCGGAACTTGGTTTTCTTGACTTCTGTTTGCCTATACTGAATTGCCTTTGGGGTCTTCCAGTCTACCTGTAAATATAAGCCAGAACATGTAATTAGTCATATCAATAAATTTCAAGTGGATTTGTATAAAACACAGCAAATATAGTTATGAGAAACAAGTCCAATTAAAAAAAACAAGGTGGGTAACTTCATATATTAATCAAGAAATTATAACAATAGTTATTATATCTTACAGACTGCTATTTTACAATTCCTGTTTATTTTATGTAAATTACTCTAGCTAAGTATGAACTTAGACAGGAAAATTGTTATTAGGGACAAATTTTAGTCTTTTATTCACAATGATTTTCATGGAAGAGATTTTTTATTAGTAAATCTTCACTGATTAACCCACAGTGGTTTTCAGAACAATATTTATAACTGTGCAGAGACAAACTACTGCAGTGGCCTCTGGTAATGGCCAACAAATTTCTGCCACATATACTGTAACAAGAGAGAACTTGGACTGCCTCCATTCTGATGATACTGACAGGGTTATAGGCTTGCAACTATATTTGCTATAAAAATTACTACCACCAAGAAAGTCAATAATTAGCTATCCATCTCTCAGAGCTACAAATCATGCAACAAGTCAGCAAAGCTTCATGGCATATATTTTGGGAAGACAGACGCTCCAGACTTTCTTGGCAATTTATTATCAAGTAAAGAACAAAATAGCAAAATACAAAATAAATAACAAAATAAAATAAAATACAAAATAACACATAGTAGAAGCTGTTGACCTTTGCCAGAGTAGGAGGAACAGAGGCCAAAGCAGCAGTTGGTAAAATCACCTTTTAGATCTGAATTTTATATATAATTTTATATATAATTTTAGATCTTAATCAATCATATACACAACCAACCAACTTAAAGACCGTACAGGATGCAAAACGGTTCCACTTAAGTTATTAAACAGATACATCTTGAGCCGAGGATAAAGCTCATTACATGTTCATCGTAAAATTAAACATTTCTGTGGCCTATTACTGTACTTTAAAAGGCAAACTCCAAACAAATACAATCAAAAACATTAAATATCATCAATACATACACAAACATTGAATATTATCTTTATATTTCATTGTAAAGCAAATGCAATAAGACAGACAACTAAGAAACTCTCATTTTAATCTATTTCTTTGTACTTACCTGTGCCATTGCTCTTTTAATATATTTCTCCGGTAGATTAGACACTTGCTTTGTCATATCCGCGACGCATTTCGCCACAAAAGTTAATCGAGGCATAATTAAAAGAGGAAAAAGGAGAAAAAAAAGAGAAAATGTTTCGCCGAAAACTCTTGTGTCGGCGAATTGGTGATTGAACGCCAATCGCCGCTTTGATTTTAAGAATATTAATCACTATTCTTATATACCTAAATACTTTATCAAATATCATAGAAATTATTCTGTTAGGAAATAAAAAAGATAATTTATGCCGAGATATAAAATGACGATCTAGGGAGAGGCCAAGTCGCCGCTTTGATTTTAAGATATCAATCACTATCCTCATATACCAAATAGCATATCACATATCATAGAAATTATTCTGTTAGGAATAAAAAAAGATAATTTATCCTATATATAAAATGACGATATAGGAGAGCCAATCGCCGCTTTGATTTTAAGAATATTAATCACTATTCTTATATACCTAAATACTTTATCAAATATCATAGAAATTATTCTGTTAGGAATAAAAAAAAATAATTTATCCTATATATAAACTGACGATATAGGAGAGCCAATCGCCGCTTTGATTTTAAGATATCAATCACTATCCTCATATACCAAAATACATATCACATATCATAGAAATTATTCTATTAGGAATAAAAAAAGATAATTTATCCTATATATAAAATGACGATATAGGAGAGCCAATCGCCGCTTTGATTTTAAGAATATTAATCACTATTCTTATATACCTAAATACTTTATCAAATATCATAGAAATTATTCTGTTAGGAATAAAAAAAGATAATTTATCCTATATATAAAATGACGATATAGGAGAGCCAATCGCCGCTTTGATTTTAAGAATATTAATCACTATTCTTATATACCTAAATACTTTATCAAATATCATAGAAATTATTCTGTTAGGAATAAAAAAAGATAATTTATCCTATATATAAAATGACGATATAGGAGAGCCAATCGCCGCTTTGATTTTAAGAATATTAATCACTATTCTTATATACCTAAATACTTTATCAAATATCATAGAAATTATTCTGTTAGGAATAAAAAAAGATAATTTATCCTATATATAAAATGACGATATAGGAGAGCCAATCGCCGCTTTGATTTTAAGAATATTAATCACTATTCTTATATACCTAAATACTTTATCAAATATCATAGAAATTATTCTGTTAGGAATAAAAAAAGATAATTTATCCTATATATAAAATGACGATATAGGAGAGCCAATCGCCGCTTTGATTTTAAGAATATTAATCACTATTCTTATATACCTAAATACTTTATCAAATATCATAGAAATTATTCTGTTAGGAATAAAAAAAGATAATTTATCCTATATATAAAATGACGATATAGGAGAGCCAATCGCCGCTTTGATTTTAAGAATATTAATCACTATTCTTATATACCTAAATACTTTATCAAATATCATAGAAATTATTCTGTTAGGAATAAAAAAAGATAATTTATCCTATATATAAAATGACGATATAGGAGAGCCAATCGCCGCTTTGATTTTAAGAATATTAATCACTATTCTTATATACCTAAATACTTTATCAAATATCATAGAAATTATTCTGTTAGGAATAAAAAAAGATAATTTATCCTATATATAAAATGACGATATAGGAGAGCCAATCGCCGCTTTGATTTTAAGAATATTAATCACTATTCTTATATACCTAAATACTTTATCAAATATCATAGAAATTATTCTGTTAGGAATAAAAAAAGATAATTTATCCTATATATAAAATGACGATATAGGAGAGCCAATCGCCGCTTTGATTTTAAGAATATTAATCACTATTCTTATATACCTAAATACTTTATCAAATATCATAGAAATTATTCTGTTAGGAATAAAAAAAGATAATTTATCCTATATATAAAAATGACGATATAGGAGAGCCAATCGCCGCTTTGATTTTAAGAATATTAATCACTATTCTTATATACCTAAATACTTTATCAAATATCATAGAAATTATTCTGTTAGGAATAAAAAAAGATAATTTATCCTATATATAAAATGACGATATAGGAGAGCCAATCGCCGCTTTGATTTTAAGAATATTAATCACTATTCTTATATACCTAAATACTTTATCAAATATCATAGAAATTATTCTGTTAGGAATAAAAAAAGATAATTTATCCTATATATAAAATGACGATATAGGAGAGCCAATCGCCGCTTTGATTTTAAGAATATTAATCACTATTCTTATATACCTAAATACTTTATCAAATATCATAGAAATTATTCTGTTAGGAATAAAAAAAGATAATTTATCCTATATATAAAATGACGATATAGGAGAGCCAATCGCCGCTTTGATTTTAAGAATATTAATCACTATTCTTATATACCTAAATACTTTATCAAATATCATAGAAATTATTCTGTTAGGAATAAAAAAAGATAATTTATCCTATATATAAAATGACGATATAGGAGAGCCAATCGCCGCTTTGATTTTAAGAATATTAATCACTATTCTTATATACCTAAATACTTTATCAAATATCATAGAAATTATTCTGTTAGGAATAAAAAAAGATAATTTATCCTATATATAAAATGACGATATAGGAGAGCCAATCGCCGCTTTGATTTTAAGATATCAATCACTATCCTCATATACCAAAATACATATCACATATCATAGAAATTATTCTATTAGGAATAAAAAAAGATAATTTATCCTATATATAAAATGACGATATAGGAGAGCCAATCGCCGCTTTGATTTTAAGAATATTAATCACTATTCTTATATACCTAAATACTTTATCAAATATCATAGAAATTATTCTGTTAGGAATAAAAAAAGATAATTTATCCTATATATAAAATGACGATATAGGAGAGCCAATCGCCGCTTTGATTTTAAGAATATTAATCACTATTCTTATATACCTAAATACTTTATCAAATATCATAGAAATTATTCTGTTAGGAATAAAAAAAGATAATTTATCCTATATATAAAATGACGATATAGGAGAGCCAATCGCCGCTTTGATTTTAAGAATATTAATCACTATTCTTATATACCTAAATACTTTATCAAATATCATAGAAATTATTCTGTTAGGAATAAAAAAAAATAATTTATCCTATATATAAACTGACGATATAGGAGAGCCAATCGCCGCTTTGATTTTAAGAATATTAATCACTATTCTTATATACCTAAATACTTTATCAAATATCATAGAAATTATTCTGTTAGGAATAAAAAAAGATAATTTATCCTATATATAAAATGACGATATAGGAGAGCCAATCGCCGCTTTGATTTTAAGAATATTAATCACTATTCTTATATACCTAAATACTTTATCAAATATCATAGAAATTATTCTGTTAGGAATAAAAAAAGATAATTTATCCTATATATAAAATGACGATATAGGAGAGCCAATCGCCGCTTTGATTTTAAGAATATTAATCACTATTCTTATATACCTAAATACTTTATCAAATATCATAGAAATTATTCTGTTAGGAATAAAAAAAGATAATTTATCCTATATATAAAATGACGATATAGGAGAGCCAATCGCCGCTTTGATTTTAAGAATATTAATCACTATTCTTATATACCTAAATACTTTATCAAATATCATAGAGATTTTTACCTCATGGAACCTCTGTCACTGCTGAATTGTGACATGGATGAGGTGTGTCACAATGACTTGCCTGGGCTGTCTCGCCCGTCAGATGTGATGTAGACTTTGTATTCCTGGGGAGTTCCTTACAAGGAGGTTTTTTCTGCCACCTAAAAGAGTTTAATATTTTTTCAGAGCAAGATATGGCTGGTTGCACACAAAATATCAACTTGTGCTTTGTAAACTTGAGTATGACACTTTCAAAACTTGACTTATATTGAAAATATAAGCCTGAAGTGGTAACTGGTATGTAGGGAGTTGTGTTTAAATGGTGTTCCATTGTTTATTATTTGAAAGAAAATGATGCGTTAAACAGATAATACCTTTATTTTAGTAATTGTCCAGGCTAGGACCATGTCGGAGATTTGCTTCTCTTTCATACAGCACAAAAACACCATGACACTGCTGGGTTTAGTGTAGATATATAGACATACCTTTTCTTTCTGCTAAATACTTTTGATACAGTTTTTGTGCATGGCAATGTGGTGTTCATGACAGACAGTATAGGGAATTGATATAATTGGTGAGATTTAAGACACTTATCATATTTAATCTTTCTTGCAAAAATTAACATGATACTGCTAGGGATGGCATGTATGGACATGCCATGCCTACGGTGAATTTAGTTTATTAATTACTTTTAAACAAATGGCTGCAAAATTGCTTAGTCTCCAATGAGTCAATCACTTGTCTGACTTAGCTCACTTGTTTACTCTTTTCCTTAATTTTTATTTTATTCTATTTTATTTTATATTGCTATAAATATTGCTAGTACCACTATGATCATTATAATGTCAGTCACAATAACAGCATCCATATTATTAGCATTAGGAAAAAAACTCAGGTCAGGACACACAGACTACTAATTGATTCCATGGTGCTAATCCCTTTTGGATCCATCTTTGTGTAAATACATTTCACAAAACAGAACTACCATGAACATCACATTTTCCCGGTGGCAGTGGGTTATGTAAAATTATTTAATATGTGTCCCTCAATTAACAAGATTAGAGCTAAAGTGCTCACTATGTTGAATAAGTTGGATCCTAACATAAAGGTTTGAGTATTGATGCTCTAAACATTTCTCAGTTGAAATTTTATTTTTTGCAGTTTAAAGATGCGGGAAGAACATGAAGAGGAACGTGAGGTGCTTCAGTCCATATACGAAGGGGACAGTAATTTTTCAATGATTAATGAAACCACTTTTCAGTATAAGGTATTATTACTGTTTTCTGTTTCCTGGTAGAATTATTGATCAATAATGTAAACAGACTATATTTATCATAGAAAGGGGAGGCAGATGTGATATTTGTTTATGCCATGTAAATCTTAGCCTGAAATAAATCAAAGATATTTTTTCAGTATGGTGATGAAGGAGAAAACAGATCTTTCCTTGTAGAAATTAGTTGGGGTGCAGACTACCCAGATGTTGCACCATCTATTAATCTGGATCTGTTTTATAATAAACACATGTAAGTATGCCTATGTAATTTGATGAAGGGTTTGAAAAATAGTTAAATAGAATCTTGGTAAGTATTGATAAAACACTCATGTGTCTACTGCTAACCTCATGCTGTTCATTGTACCCTCTGCATCTGTTGACTCTTTAGCAACAGCCAACAGACTGTTATCTTCAATAATCTAGCAAGACAGCTTGGTGACTTCACTAGTGATATATAGTCTAATAAGGAACCAATCCAAGCACTAGGTTGCCAGAATATGTATAGAGTAGGACAGTGATCACTTGACCATACATTTCCTAGTCATTTAAGGCATTTACTAAACAGTTACCAGAATTTTGTATTTGCTTATTTTAGGTATTTTACTGGTTACCAAAAACTTATGATAATTAATGCATTTTATTTCTGGAACAAGAGGTATATGAAAGTTGGTTTATATAATACATGAAAGAATTATGTGTTACATATTCATAAATGGGCTTTAAGTGAGAGAAGTAGCATAACCAATGCACACTTATTTACAATGCATGAAATTAATTCAAACATTCTCTTTCTTCTCAGTGTAAGTCCTGTTAAGGAGAAGATCCTTTCAGGTTTGAAAGAACAAGCAGAGATTAACTTGGGCATGAGCATGACGTTTACTCTGTTTGAGTGGCTAAAAGAAGCCAAGGAAGAACTCTTGGAGGAACAGCCATTAGAAGCTCCTGTCAGTCGCATTGCAGAGATTAATGCTGATGTCAGTCAAATGACATTAAATGATGACCAAGGAGATGTAAGAGACTACTGGTTATATTTGAAAATATATTGTTCTTTGTTTTCTTATGCTTCAAAATAATAATAAGTAATCTAAGGTTTCATACTTATTTATGTATATTTGGAATCTTGGATTGAAAATTACATAATTTGCCATATACTTGCATGTAATGTGTTCAGAAATCACTATGACAACTTTTGCAGAACATCTATATAACTTTTTTTTATTACACAAGACACTTGTTCTTCCAGGGCAAGAAAGACAAAAAGGAACAGCTGACAAAGGCACAGAAGAGGCGAATGTGGGACAGACAGAACGCAGCTGGTGAGAGAGCTCGTGGCTACAACTGGGTCGACATCATCAAACACCTCTCGCAGACCGGGGGCTCCAAAAACGATGGATAGCATTTATTGATATTATTAAAATTATTACCTTTACGTTTTAGATGACTGCCTAAGATGAAAATTTGCTTGGGTGGTCTTGAAGGAGGAAGTATTATTTTCTAATAAACCTGTTATTTTTACTACGTGCATGAAGGTCTTGTTTAAATATAGATAGGTAAACATATGCACTTTTCACATTGATGATTTATCGGAGTCACACTGTCTGCCAAGTTTGGTTTGTTTTTTTAATGTTATTGATCCTACAGTTTTGTATGCAGATTTATGCTGTAAAATTAATAGTCTAATCTGTATAAAGGAATTTGTAAAATAGTGAAGATTTTTTATTTGCCTAATACTATGCCTGTTTTTTGTTTATGAACATCTAATAATTTCCCTCACGAAAGGAATGCTTCTAAAGATAATACCATTTCATTTCTTTATTTCTGCTGAAAGTCTGGCTAATCAGGCAAATATGTATCTTAAATCAAATTATATATCCCAAATCACTCCATTTTTATGGAAAGATATTTTGTAGCACATATGTCAAAAAGAATGCAAAAAAGCCAAGACTTTATGTACTACTTCATTTATTTAATATCAGTAATAAGAATATTACACTAGTAAGAGATACTGTGTTTGGTTACATAGGTTATTTGATATAATATGCAGGACACAGTGCAATAACTTGTTTCTCTCTACACATAAATACAGACCTACAGATACCCCGCACCCCCATCACACACACATGTGATTTACACTTATTTCCATATATTAGGAGTGCTACCTTCAGACTTGCCTTCACATTTAGGATTGGTTTGCAAAGATTTAATAAGATACAACAGATAATGTAATAAATATTGAAATTCCTGCCTATTTTTCCCTTGCTTGGTCAGGTGAAGATGATGTTGATAACAGTAAGTAATAATATTAATAATATAATAGTCATCATCATCACTATCACCACCACCAACATCAATGGAAAACTTTATTACTAATGTAATTGCTACTGATGATAATATCACAATAGAGTATGGCAATTAAAGTAGTAACAATGATGCACAATAAATAAGTATAATAAGGGTGGTCGTGGCAACAACAATAATGAAACTAATAATTGATAAATATACTGCTTATAGTCATAAAAATTATATAATATTTATTCTAAATAATTATTTAGTCATTATTGCAATAATAATAGTGTTAGCAGAAATAACAATGATTAGAATATAAATGTATATAATAAAAATAATAAGGACATTTTCTTCATGACTGATTTGAGTTTCACAGTTTTAAACTTAATCAAACGCTATTTGTGACATTACACATTTCTGGTCTCGGTGCACTACATTACTTTTTCCAGTATGCGAACTCCAAGTGAGTTGCCACAAAGATTTATGTTTTACTGCCTATACCCTCCTGACCTCTTTAATATAGCGTATCAATAAGAGACTGGACTATAGTAATAAGACATCGTGGTTTATATATGACACAAGGGCAGAATATAACGTAACCTTTAAACATAAAGCTAAGTGCCTACTGACAATGGTACTCTAAGTGCATAGACGTAAATTTGTTCCATATTTATCGTACCGTACTATAAGTTAAGTTATTCCAAGTTATTTTCTTTAGCCAAACCTATACATAAAGCATAAGCATGCTTCAAGTATACAAAGCTACACTATTCGAGCTTCATGAAAACCTGATAGAAATATGACAGCAATAACTGCCAATGCCTTTTTCATTGGTTCACTGGAGGTTTTTTTGTTTCAAAATGACCTTGGCAGAACTTTTCCTCTTATTATTATACAGAAGAACAAATCAAGAAAATCAACAGGAGGGAATCTATTAATGATAAATGGATGCTTCTGATGATCCGAAGCAAGTATCATTTGCAGAGAATGCGCTACAATGAATAATTTTGCGCATGATTAATGGAGTTTACCATCCTACGAAAGGTGTATTGACTTCTTTGCCTCATGGTTAGTTACAACACAGGCCATATAATGAATCATGTTCCATGCGTTACAAAGTGACAACAAGCTTTAGTAAGCTTTCCACAAATAGTACCATGAACAGCTTTTCACACAAGCATCATGGTCCAGTAGACGCATGAAAAAACGAATACTGACACAGGAACAGCCACCAAACGAGTGAAAAGGAGAACAGAATTCGGTGACATGCGAGGTCTTCTAAATTTCCCTCTCGGAGGAGCCATATAAAATACTTTCCCGTCGTCAAGAACCTCGACTACGACGTGGATCAGGATGATAAAGAAGAGTAAGAAAGTGCAGAAGAAGAACCAGACGTCGATCATCTTCACGTAGGCCGTCTTAGGAAGAGAGGAGGACGTTTGGCTGAAGAAAGTGTAAAGGACGAGTAGCGTGGTCAGGCTCACGGAGAGTCGAACCTGCGTGGATTGTCGTCTAGGTTAGAAAAGTGTCCATACTTCTTGTTTGTTAAAGAATAAGCGTTATTGTGGCTCAGGTGATTTGTCCTATGGTTTGTGGACTTATTTCTATTATAATATGTAAAACGGAACACCGTAGAATAATGTCCCGCACGAGGAAAATTTGGAAGAAAATCTTAAAAAAGGATTAGGATATAAACATGGATTGTAGCATAATAGTTTTGTGTTCATGCCGAGAAAGCAGGAAAATAAATGAGGACTTTATGTGGTCTTCATAGATGAGGAAAAAACACACACAAAAACCGACAAAGTGACAAGGTAATAAATGTGGAAGTGTTTGACAAAAAATGAAGTACAAAAAAAAAAAAAAGAAAAAAAAAAATTAGATCAGTGCGAAATATGTATGAAGGAACAACGACAAGGATCTTCACTGGGCAGGAGAGGAAAGTTAATAAGTGATGGAAGACTATAGAACTTTTGCGCAATCGCGACCCCTTCCCCGAACCCGGTATCTCTAATTGCCGACGGGCGCCGCCGGGCACCGCCGGGCACCGCAGAGAACCGACGGGCTGCCGACGGGAACCGACGGGCTGCCGACGGGAACCGGCGGGAACCGACGGGCTGCCGACGGGCCATGGACGGGCACCGACGGGCTAATTTGTAGCCTAGTAGCGTAAACTGTACATAGGGTTCTCTGCATGATTAGAGTACCGGTAGACTACTCCTCTTTGACTGCGACTCTGTTGGAGTTAACTCTTGTCCACCCTCAATACAAAGTTTCATTTCACTGCCATTTGTGGATGCTTCTAAAGATGAGAACCTGTTAATACAGCAGGGGACTGGAGAACCATCCTGTATTCCTGGAGGAGTCTTCTGGCATGACGACGGCGTACTCCACAGCCACGGTCTGGAACTGCGGCTAGTACGGACTCTATGCTGAGATCGCCATGCTGAGATTCCCTTGGACTATTATAGTGACAATAAATAAATGCAGAAACTTACGAGCCCAGCCCCTTGGGCTTACTTAGTAACTTTGGGAAAATTTAAACCAAATAATTAAGAGCAGCAGTATTGTGGTGCAAAAGTTAATAAAACAAAAGTTAAAAAAGTTAATATAGTTATTTACAGATCTCCAAAGTTTTATTGAAATCCATTGACCACCACTTTCCGCCAAATGTACACTTTTCTGGGTCAGTCCTTAGTCTATAATAATAATGTCCCCATTATATTATTTATTTAGGCAGAAGTGCCCAAACCTTTATTTCAACCTTAAAATATGAAAATAACTTATAATGAATCATTAATTCATGGCCCGTCGGCAACCCGTCGGTTCCCGGCGGCTCCCGTCGGCAGCCAGTCGGTTCCCGGCGGCGCCCGTCGGCAATTAGAGTAACCCCCGAACCTCTTATACATTCCCGACCACCCCGCGTCAGCCAATCTATTAATGATTTTTTCCATTACATATTTTCAATAATCTGTACAAGCTTTATTTACCTAGAAGTCCTTAGAAGACTCCATAGTGCATTCTTGAAAGTAACAATGGCTAACGCTTAGCAAAATGGCCTACAATATGCATTCCCCAAGGCTTCGCGACGATTCTGACGACCCCTTACAATCCTGTGGGGAAGATTAAGGATTAAAAGCCAGCAGAAGTCAAATTAAATATCTAAATTTAAACACTGAAGGAAATCCCAAAGTAAAAATGTTGAGTAAGAATTTTAAAAGAGTGAACACATCCGATTCTCTATTTATTCACAGCAGCGGGAGGTAAGAAATTCAAGGTAACGACTCATTCAATACCCACTAGTTGGAGAAATTAGAAAAGGATGTCTAGTATTTTGTGATAACGAGAGAATTAATGAATGAAAAAAAGAAAAAAAAAAGAAAACAAGCCAGTAATATGTGGGGTTGAATGAAGACCCATGAAAATAATTGTTAAAGATGAAATTACGAAAGTAGATGTATGGAACGACTCGGTGGGATAAAATAAGTAATGTAAATATTAAAAGAAAGTACAAGGAAAAATAAATAGTAATGGTATACGTACGAAAAAGAGTCATGGAAATGGAAGAAGATGGGAAAAGAAGCGAGGAAGATCTAAGAAATGATAGAAGGATGGATTAAAGGACGACTTAAAAAAAAGAAAGAAAGAAAGAAAGAAAAAAAACTAAATGTAGGTGCTGAACAGAGGTACGTGGAAAACTATTGTCAAAAATTTCGACCTTACATAAAAGGACATGGGAAAGGGAAAGATAAAAGAAATTCTAGTAAATGAATACCTACTGTAAATAATAATTGTGCTGCTGCTGATAATGGTAATGATTGTGATGATGATGATTGTGATGATGATGATGATGATGATGATGATAATGATAATAATAATGATAATGATAATGATATTGATAATGATAATGATAATGATAATAATGATAATAATGATGATAGTAATAATAATAATGATAATGATAATAATAATAGCAATAATAGTAGTAATGATAATAATCATAATAATACTTATAATGTTGATAATAATAATAAAAAGTAATAATACTAACAATAACAATAATCATAATAATGATAAATAATATTCGAATAATAATAATAATAATAATAATAATAATAATAATAATAATAATAATAATAATAATAATAATGATAATGATAATAATAATAGCAATAATAGTAGTAATAATAATAATAATCATAATAATACTTATAATGTTGATAATAATAATAAAAAGTAATAATACTAACAATAACAATAATCATAATAATGATAAATAATATTCGAATAATAATAATGATAATAATAATAATAATAATAATAATAATAATAATAATAATAATAATAATAATAATAATAACGAAAATAATGACAACAATAATAATGATATGAGTAATAATCATCAACATAATTATCATTA